CCAAGAAAATATGGCCCACACCATTACACACTACCAGCAGAAACCTGAACTACTTTTACTAGGCTGGATGGATGCTTTTCATGTTGTTCACACCAACATGACCCTATCACCCGAATGTTGCAGCAAAAATTAACATTCATCTGACCAGGCAACATTTTTCCTCTTCATAGCTGACAAGTGCGGAACTCAGTGTGGTCTTCTGCCACTGTTCAAAGGTGCTCTTCTGCATACTTTGGTTGTAATGACAACCTGGATTGAAGCAGCCCATCAGCACATCATTCTTGACCACGTCTATAAGACTAAATATGTTGACTTGCTGCAATGTGACTGATTAGGTATTTGTGTTAAAGAGCAGCTAAACAGGTGTGCCTACTGAAGTAGCCAGATGCGGTGCACACCCTGGACAGATCACGAGTCTGCCCCACACATTCACATCTATGGGCATTGACGTAGTCCCACTGAGTGCTTTTGGACAGCTTTGGAGGAAGCCAGAGTAACCAGAGAGAGCATGCAAACTCCACACAGAATGGTCCCGGCAAGACGGTGAACTTGAACCCAGGCAACAATGCTAGTCACCGTGCCGCCGGGCTGACCTATTTCTAGTGCTAATACAATACAAAAAAAATTGATTAAATGCAGCTCATATTCACTATGAAATTGTGAAACAGAGCAATCCACACCTTCTTCGTTAGCTGACTTTTTGATATCCTCTCTGCAGTCCACACAGCTGCTCAGGGAAGTCAAATTTCTCTCTCCATCAGTGTCAGTTAGATAAAAGCCAATTCAAAGGAAATGAGGCTGCACTGTCTGTGCTCGGATGGAGTGAACAGCATCTTTGAGCGACTGACTGACTGATGTGTTTTTCTACCAAATGAAGTGAGGGTGTCTTTTTTGTTTCTTTTCCCCTTGTCGTGTGGAGCAACATGTGGCTTTGATGCTGATTTTGATTTGGATCCAAATGTAAAATTAGCAATAATAGCTTACCTTCAAGAAAGGGAACCTCATTAATCCCAAGCTGCACACGCAATTTTACCCCAACTCTTTTGCATCAGAGGCAGAGATGCTTTTATGGCAGGAATACGATCGCTTTGACGTCAACAAGAGTTTGTAGTTCTTCTGTTGCTGCAGCTGCCTGAATAGACGCCATTCAAGCAGGCAAACATGAATGGCAAAGATGATTTATAAATGGCGCTGACGTCTGTTGCATTCATGCGCATGTATTAACGATATTGGACGATAAGCACACATGTAAACTCAGGGGCCGGCAGCAGCGGCTACTTCCGTTAAGGTGCACATCTCTGTGCAGGTGAGTCCATAAACAGACAATGAAAGAATGAGTCAAAGGAAGAGCAAGAGGAGTCATTCACCATACTACACCCTGTGACTCAGGACAGCCTTACACCGAGACAAGACACCCACATCATCGTCAGACAGACATTTAAACCACGAGTAAAAATGTGTTGCTGTGTGAGAATAAATTGGTAAGCAAGTTATTTTCTCCATGACAGCATATTTAATCAGGAGTAGCAGTTACTCTGACGATTTGTGCTTTGCATTAAACATTTCAGAGTTTGTCTAGTGCCAACAAAACAGCACACAACAAAGTGATTTTGTCATCTCGGTGTTTAAATCACGCAGAAAAAAGAAAGCTTTTCTTGTGAATGTTTGAGCTGAGATTTACATAAAAGGACATGAATTTATTAGTTTATTAGTGTGTGTGTGTGTGTGTGTGTGTGTCTTGTGTGTGTGTGTGTGTGTGTTTTTGTGTGTGTGTGTGTGTGTGTGTGTGTGTGTGTGTGTGTATGCGTCGTGCGTGTGGCTCTGCCTCTTTTTGCCTCTGTTACATTATCTTCTTTTACCTTGACATTATAGCTGAAAGTTCACCTCTATGGAATAAAATGTTCATTAGCCTCTAGAGAAGATCTTTGTAAGGCTTTTCTTAAAAGATTTTAAAATTAAGACAGCAAAGCGGGAGATATTACATTTTGCTTTTTCTTGGCACCCGAGTTAATTGTAAAGTAACTCGAGAGCTCAGAGCTTTCATCAGAGATTTGGGAGTGCTACTGGTGACTAACGAAAACGACCAGTTTGCCAATGACAGCATATTAAACTGTCTTGGTTCTTCTCTCACTGCTCTTAACTCCAGCCTCCTTCTATTCTCCATTTATCCACCAGATGCCCTCAGATTTGCTTCCAGATCCAGTCACCTGGCTTTGTCCCCTCCTTATTAACGCCCGTAAAGGCTGATCTTCAGCTTTACCACGCACCTGCTTCCCATTCAGCATTCCCATGAGGAATGCCCAGACCTCTACATTGGAGAGACCAAACAGCCACTTCACAAGCGCATGGCACAACACAGAAGAGCCACCTCCACAGGACAAGACTCAGCAGTCCATCTGCATCTTAAGGATAAAGGACACTCTTTCGAGGATGCCAATGTTCACATTTTGGACAGAGAGGACAGATGGTTTGAAAGAGGAGTGAAAGAAGCATCTATGTCCACTGTGAGCGACCATCTTTGAACAGAGGCGGGGTTTACGACACCAACTCTCTGCCATCTATAATCCAGTTTTGAGATCCCTTCCCAGACGCCTTAACGCCCACTCACATCCTGGGCCATCTGACCTCAGGAATTCGCATGATAAGGTGGGGCCAGGTTTCACAATGAACACACCCGAAACTCTGGCTGATTGGGACCCACACCCAGTTTCCCACCTTGGCTCAGGCGATTAGAGGATCATCAGGGGGTCCTTTTGTCCCTCTGTGGGGGGACTCCCACTAGGTTTATATCTGGGACTCTCCACCATTTGACCTTAGAACTGAAGAAGCTTCTCGGATGAGAGGTGAAACGTCTTCAAGCAACTTAAAGAAGTCCAGACGCTTTTCTTTGCAAGCTCCTTTGACTACGATGTCCTGGATGACTGAGAACCTTCACAGACACTTAGGCAACGACTGGTGTCAATTTGGCAGCCAAGGCAGGAAAACTAGACAGTGGCTCAATGCACTTGAGTTGGAAGTTAGGATTTAAGATACTTAGAAACAGCCAACTACAAAACATGCAAACTCATCTGTGAAAAAGAAGTGGATTGCAGGGGGCACCTAGCAACAATCAGGGCTTGCAGTTTACTCAACTATATTTCCACCTCACTGGTGAGGAAGTGTTGTGATTTTGCCATATTGTAAAAGAAGACGCATTAACTGAGTAAACTCATACCTGTCAAATGTCTGGTAGGAGATTTCTTGCACAAACATGATACTTATTAGTCTGAGTGGGGTTTATTTTCTGTACACTTTGAATAGACAATTTATGCGAAGGGCAACTGAAAGTTGATGGCAATATCACTCGTTTCACTGCTATTTGATCTACAAAAACTATCACAGATATTTTTTGATTAATAACCTTTATTATAATGAGTGTCACTTCACAAAATGTTCGCCTTGATGCTAGAATATGAAGGGATCATTGAAGATATTGGTCACATGATGATCCAAAGTGGTGGGATAACAAAAATTGCCATTTGTCAGAACCCTCAGCAATCCAACCTCATAGAAAGGAAAATCAAATTCCCAGTTTGCTTCTGTTTACTGTTAGGCTTAGCAATTTCATTAAAGCTAAGAGGAGCCGTTTCTCTTATTTGTACTGATTTTCAAAGCAATAAAAAAATGTCCTTTGGGTGATTTTTATTTCAGCTGCACACCTGTGGATATACTTGGTGTTTCAAAGGGGATTAAATTACTGTTTTTATATTGATATTTGGCATCTTTGTACATAGAACTGCTTTGAAAAAGCTACATATTTACAATAGAAAACATCATTGCAAAGAAACCGGTCATTGGGTTCACTGGGTGGATTTGATGCCAGGACTCTCTATACTGTGTAATCCAAAATAACAAACTGGAGGGATCTGAACTGGTGTGGGTCTGCTCCATGGTTTCATTCTTTTGGCACTTTGAGTTATACACAGTGATAATCAAGAAGGTGAGAGTTGGTTTGGGGTATAAATGAGGCTTAAGAAAATGCTACTTTTATAAATAAAGCCTCAGTGTGACATAAGAATTCGCTTTTTGAATAAACACAGTGAAATTTCATGTATGTGAGCAAGTGTTGTTTATGGAATAAGACAACTCCACCGAGGAAATGCCAGAGTTTAATGTGACTATAATACAAGCAGCACTGCATAAGACACAATCAAAAGCCTGAATATATTTCATAATACAATCCAGATATCAATATACTTAAAAGAGAGTTATATAATTGTTTTGTCAGATTTTGATTTTATATCACAGCTGTTTTAATACAGGAATCAGAGTCAAAAAGCAAGCCACACTAAACAAAATGCACTAAAAGTTGTACAAATGTGTGTCTCTCCAGAAACTTACAGTTAGAAAGAATTACATTTATTGCATTTACTCACAAAATGGTATGTGCATACATTTGGTTTTACCATACTGTTTTTAATTCCATTTTTATTTATGAGAAAAAACATTTTACTGAGCATGGAGTAGATGAATTTTGAAGAAAAAAAAAGAAAGAAAGTTTAATCCATAAATCTACATTTCAAAATGAAAATAAAACATGTAAGAAAATAGCCGTCACATTACAGTTACAGTATATTCATTGTACTCATGAAACAGTAAATACCAAAGGGAATGCAGGGATAAAATTCTCATAGAGCCTAGAAATTAAAAGAGCTCACAGCGTTAGCAGTAATAATAAAAAGTACACAAATAAAGCAGAATAAAAGCTGGAACTACTTATTCTGTATCCTCTGATCTTCTTCTCCTGTACTTAGATATGCCTAAACATATGATTAATATTGATCAGTAGTCTATAATTACTAAAACAGTTATACTGTAATTTGGGGACTGCAATAAAAAGTGATATCAAACTGAAAATACATTCTTGATTAAAAAGAAAAATGTTGTTCATTAACTCTTTTTACGGAAATCAGTAGCTATGTTCCCTACACCATCAGGATGTGGTTTCCAAGCACGTCCTATTTAAAAAAAAAAAAAAAAAAAAAGAAAGAAAGAAAAAATCCTGAGTCCTTTGTGGGTATAATTATCTGTGCAGTCAGCAATACAGTGAGCAAAGTCATCAACTGCATCTCTGTCAGAAAATGCCTCGACTCTCACATCTAAGAGCCTCAATGAGAGCGAGGGCAAGACTCGGATGACCCTGATTACCGGTATTTGCTGTTGTCAGGAGAAAGATGGTGCTGTGGACTAAAATCTTAAGCAGAGTATTTGTGGTTACAGAGAATACCGAGCAGTACTGTATTTAAAGCTCTCATCTTGTGTAGTTTAAATTATTTTGTTGCACTGAGATAAAGCTACTATACAGTGATTTGGCACATCACATATATTGTACAACATTAAAATTCTTCATTTCCATTGTTCTGTTGTTTTCTTGGTTACAAAGATGGCTACCAGGAAAAGTACAACAAGCATCGGTACATTCAACAGCCAGGCTGATTGATACAGCACAACACAATCTGAAAACTGTTTACGTAGCATCATAAGCAAGTACAGCAAGATTTCCAAAGACATATGTGAATATAAGCTTTAGCTTTTAGTATTTACAACCAAATGTAATAATAAAATACATTGTTTCTCAAGCAGAGTGCAACTTAAATAGTAGGTCTTTTATTTTTAATCTACGGTGAAGGACCATCAGCAGGGATGGACAGCTTACTTGAAAAATGTTACTCATTTAATACTCATGTATATGATCCTTGTCATGAGTGCAGTTAAGATGTACCTTATTTAACAACCCCAAAACACACACAGTGATGATTACAACTTCAATATGTAGAAAAACAATTAAAAAAATCTTTTAGTTCCAGTCTTTTTTTCCTCAATGGGAGGTACAGCAGACTATTTGCCAAACAGATGGCTGTGATACTGACCACAAACTCCAGAGGTCTATTACACAAAAATATTGTCTGTAGTCATATGAAATTTGCTTTAAGATGATTATAAAGCATGTTTGATAGTTCAATCAAATCAAAACAGGCTCTTAAACCCTAAAGATGGACTACGGGGATTACAATCAAGTCATTGCCAAATAAGTTAAGACAATGTTGATTTAGTCTATGGGCACCTATAGTTTCCTAGTAAACTAGTTTTGGCACTGGTTTTAATTCTCAATCTGGTGTCTGTAACAACAGACAAAATAAAGAAAAGTTATCCACTACAGAGTTAAATATTAGCCAACTTTCATTCAACTTAACTTGAAACAAAATTGTATGTTTCCATGATATTAGTGAGTCATGCTTGCTAATCTTTTTTAAAAAATGGCCTTTTTGGTACTAATTTAACTAGAATTCACAAGCACATTAGGACTATTAAAGACCTTCATATCCTAGACCCTTTTTATGAAACAAAAGAGTAGCTTTTTAGAGTTATTGCGCCATAATCACACTTCTGTCTTCGGAAAACCATTGTTTGCTTTCACTGTCCAGGTTTTCAGGGTTAACATTAGCATACCAAGCTAAAAGTACTTAGCAACACGTAAACTGGGCTTAAATGTGTCTAGTTTATGACATGTAATTTGTAGAAACAGTTTTGGATGTAGCTAGGAGCCACCTGTTTTAGAAACAGCTAGCTAGGAGCTCATTCAAGCTAGCTCAGCTAGCATGTTATCCTATACCTCTTTCATCACTAAAGAAACAAAGATGGCAAAACAACCACTGGATCAGATGCATGAATTTTGTGATCCTTTACTACTTCTTCATTGAATAATCCAAATCCTGCAAAATCATACAAGTATTTATTTATTTTTTTAAACAGACTGTATTACAGGTATATATGTGTTGCTTCTTTTAATGCAACTCTTACTTTTTATGAAAAATTTCCACTTATTGGACCTGCACCAATATTGTTTTTCTTTTCCTCATGCAGAGTTTTAAATTCATTGATTTGAATAAACTCACTTTCTACAGTTTAAGAGAGGTCACTGTTGAAGAAGGATGACTTTTTCTCAGTTTCAGACAGGTTTTTTTTTCCACCAGTGATGACATGTACAGTAGCAATCACAGCCGGATCAAAGAGGCAGTAATCGTGTCCTGCAGTCACTGGTGCCTTATCCCCTCTAGTCCAGGTGAAATTAACAGCGCTTATGTGGAATATTACAGCTTTCGCGATATCCATGTGACAGAAAAAGAAAAAGTCAAACATTTGTGCAGTTAGTTGAGGGCGGCGTATCCGCTTTGCTACGAATGTCCTTGATGTCATTGAGCGGGGAGTCACTGGTTCTAATCTGGCATTTAAACACCTGCTTATAGGCCTTTCTGAAGTTCTCCGACAGGAAGGCGTAGATGACCGGGTTGACTGATGAATTGCTGTACGCCAGGCAGTGTGCAGCCACCCGCAATACAAAGGAGGCTTGGTTTAGCGGGAAGGTCCCAAACTCCACCCAGAGGTGAACTACATGATGAGGGAGCCACGACAGGCAGAACACCACCACCACCACAAGCACCGTCTGAGCAGTCTGGGATCCACAAAGGAAAGGGAAAAAGGTAAGATTTTGTCAGTATCCACAAGGATAACAAATACAGAATTTAATATTCTATTTAAGCTTGAAGTCTTGTTTACGATAGAAGAATAAAGCTTGGAAAGTCATTGATGAGATAGTGGATGTTTGGGACCAATCTGCATTGTAAAAATTGTGTGAGATCATTAACATCCTATAATCAAGTTCCTGCCCTCCAGTAGAAGTCTTTGAGACCATGCTCATTTTTAAGTATGCATTGCTTGAGAAACATTATGAGTTATTTTTGCTAACCAATATCTTAGATTTTGGCAGCAGTATGCACATCACTGCATTCTTATCTCTGCATCAGCAATGGAAGTGTGTGGAGAGATCTGTCAGACAGTCCATTGACAGCAAGTGAAAGAGAGAGAGAGTAAGCAGGCTCTGGCTTCAAGCCAAACTAAAGTGCGCTTCAGGAGACTTTGGATGACTAATGTCCAACAACTCAGAAGATAATGGATTAATATTCTTTGTTGATATGCCATTTTTCTTTGGCCTGAGGATCGAGGAGCTCATCACACATCAATAAACCTTCTCATACCCCCATTTACATTTAATCATTTTAGAGTTTAACAGTAAATACTGAGAACTTTGCACTGATAATATTATGATCCCATACCACAGACTTTAATTAATCAACATTACATAAGTGACTTTTAACATCTCTACATGCACATTTGGGTGATTCCTATTTGCAAATGCTACGTGTTATTTTTGTTAGGTTTACTCAGTAGCATGGCAATGTGGCATACTTGTTTAATTCTTAAATCTCATGACGGCTGTGTTGACTGTTCTGTTCTTCTGTATTACAGCTGTTTTCCCCAAAAAAGTTAAGAGAGTTTTGAACATATTTATCAATTAGAAAACAATCAACTTAAGCACAGTGCCCAAGGCAAATAGTGCGTGAGCAGTGGATGAAGTTAACAAAGAACTGGTATGAACAAAAACAGCAGATCTGACCTTAGACAGCTGTTTAAATATTTTCAAGTACGGCCTGAAAACCTTGAAAAAGCAGACGTACTGTAAATGCCTTTTCACCCGACACTTAATGAGTCACTGGTGGCATTTCATCCAGAGTCTGTGTCATGAACTCATTTCTGTATCTACTTACAAAACCTGTAAAATGATGTGACAGTTATCATAAATCAAATTGTAATCGGAAGATTGCCGGTTCAAGCCCCGGCTTCGACAGTCTCGGCCGTTGTGTCCTTGGGCAAGACACTTCACCTGCCACCTACTGGTGTTGGCCAGAGGGGCTGATGGCGCGATATGGCAGCCTCGCTTCTGTCAGTCTGCCCCAGGGCAGCTGTGGCTACAACTGTAGCTTGCCTCCACCAGTGTATGAATGTGAGAGTGAATGAATAGTGGTATTGTAAAGCACTTTGAGGGGTTTGAAAAGCGCTATATAAATCCAATTCATTATTATTATTATTATTAAATTTACATAATATCCAAGAAGAAGAAATTAAACGATGTTATTCTTCCTACAAACAAAAAAAAGGGAAGAAAAACTAATTACATGCTCCTTGATTTGCTGAGGTAGTAAGAAGATTTATTGCAGGGCTAATTACTTCTCATCAAAGATAACGGAAATATTGAAAATCCTGAATCAGGAATTCAGCTTTCCAAGTTTTGATGGGTATAAGTTAGAAATAATATTTAGCCAACCATCTGAGCAAGTAGCTGTCAGAAGTAACAGAGCTGATGTTAAGTGTAAAGTGAAAATATTCCCAACTAAATGAATATGAGTGCACAGATTTTCACCTCATTGGAGAGCATTCTGAGATGCAGTATTTTTACTGTTATGAAAAAATGAAAAGCCTAATATGTCATTTCCTTGTATGACAACTATGCAACCTACAAGGTTTTAAAAAACATTTTTATGGCAAGCACAAAAAATGTCAGAAAGTTGCTAAATCAGCTGACTGTAAGGTCTCGATGGTAACCTAATTGTTTTGGTGTTGTAGATTTCAGCATTGCTGTTTGGTTCAGTCTAAAAAGGCACAATCTGTAAAGCAGAAAAATGTCACCAATGAAGAAGTGCCAAAAACTGAAGTTCAGCTCGGTGCCACTTGACTCCAAAAAGCAAGTCTTTCGCCACAGACTCCTGTTTTGAAATGCTCAACTTTACAGCATTAAAAAGTATGATTACAGCCTATTAAAAAAGATAACTCTGAGTGGGGTGAACGTTTGTAGAATTTTTAATGGATTATCTGAGTAATTATGGCTTGCTGTGTGGAAATGTGTGCTGTGTGTGTATTACTTAGCAAAAATGTGTTGCTAGCATAGAGTTTAGCTTGCTATCCAAACTAACGTGTTTGCTATTAAAGCAACAGTTCATACTCTCATCTAAATGTGGTGCTTTTGATCCAAAAAAAGCTAACATGACTGCCAAATGCAGAGTTTTAAACCAAATGGTGATATCACAGTGGATATGTCTTTTGGTTGGTAATAGCAGCAGGCAGCAGTATTCACGGGAGCTAAGAGAACGCTGCTGTGTGCATCGCTAGAATCGCTGTTAGGAACTTCTGAGCATAGTGATGGAGTCAAACATTCCAGCCACTAACCTGACTCCAGATACTGTTCAGTGCTGTGTGTATAGGCAACATGTTCACATGAGCGACTTTAGAGTATAATGCTATTTTATATGGCTAATATTTGTGCGGTCTGATGAAATGCCCTGCGATCCTTATTTAACTGTAACAAAATACAGTACTGCATTGATAAATTACAATAAATATAGTTTTAAAAAAATATTTTACCAGTCACATGATAGGTAAACATTTTTGACTTGATACAAGTTAGCACTGGCCAGAGAAATCTTTCTGACCCCAACACAACTACACACATAGATACAAAGACACGGTGACTATGAACAGGTTCTCACAGTTTTAGCGCAGTATTACAGTAAAAGCAGGGTTTTGTTTGAATGGTGTCCATAAAACATTCACATCTTCCCCTAAACCCACAGAGAGGCAGTCGTTAGGCTATTGTAAACGACTGCAGCAGAAACACCTTCTGTCATAAACTTTTAGCTCATCACTCAAGAACTGATTTACCTAACAACCCAAAGGTGATTCTTTTGAGTTTTTAAAGTCAAAAATGGACACCAAGATGACTTTTCTTCAAAGAGAAACACAAGAAAAACTGTTATCATGTTGGGAAATTATCATTTGGCAAGTTTGTGCTACATTTTTGATATTTCCACAACTAATCATCACTAGTAATCAAAAAATATCATTTGGATTTACAGTTTTCTGCAGCTCTTTTTAAATGTTCATTCAACGTTGTTCTCATTACTCCCGAAGTCACTGGGAAATTACTGCATGCTGTTGGGTGTCAGTCAATTCATTCAGTCTCCCAGGCTTCAGATATGCATATTACAGCCTACACACATTCTTAAATAATTTCAGAATGACTTGGCCAAACATTTATTTTTGTAATTATCTATAACCATCTGTGTTTTCCATCTGCATAACAGACTTAAACTCCTAAGATTTAACACTGCTTACTGCATGGCTCCTCAACCTCAGATTTAAAACAGAGAAAAAAATCCAGACACATATAATCAGAAAGGATTTGTAGCATATATGTGACACATAAATAAAAAATCAACTCCTTGCAAAGACCTTGCAGAAAAGAAAGGTTCGTATTCCCTATGGTTTGCTAGATTTGTGTGTTGACAGTGTGTGGTGTTGTGACTTTTGAAGGCTGTGTGATTCCTCCTCTGTGAGGCTGAAGTCGATAAGAACATTGGTTGTGTTTCACAACAGCCATGGGAGCAACCTTGGTCTTCCCAGCTGCTTTTAACAATATATTTCACCAGCCTGACAGAGAGCAGCTGAGACCTAAGTTAAACCCATTTCTGCACAAATTCCCTTTGCTTTCACCAGATGCAATTTATTCTTTTTACCTGTTGATTTTCATCTTTTATGGAGGGAAACCCTTGATAATATGTCTGTGTGCTAATAGTATGAAAAAGAAGATTAGAACCAGAATGTCAGTCGGATTTTTGCTCATCTGGCTCATCAGGATTTGATATGTTTTAGACGTAATGGATTTAATCAGCATTTTGAAAAATATGCAGATTTTCATTCATGTACAGTAAACTGATAGGACTCTGATACCTCTCAGTTATAGCCTACAACCTAGAAAAAGTGGGGAACAGCTAAGTTCACCGATTCATTTTATTGGGGTGTTATTTGTGGGATTATTTTTGACAGGCAGTAAGATGGAGACAACAGGATGTCCTGAAATGGTCTGCTCTTACATAACATCATCTTATCGCAGATTAAACCTTCAGGTCAGCTTTCAAGTTGTAATTGTGAGCCTGAGAAATTTGGTGTTTTTTGGACAAAACAGTCAGGTCCATAATTTACTGGACAAAGATGCATTTTTTTTAGTTTTGCCTCTGTAAACCACCATAGTTAATATGTGATTGAAGTACAAACCCGCAGCTTTAATTCAAGAGTCTGTGTATGTTCCCAGTCATCAAAGTCATGGTAGTCTAAGCCCTTGAAAAGAAGAAGCCTCGTGGATGAGAGGTGAGGCATCTTCGAAAAACTATAATAAGTCCAGTCGCTGTCTTTTTCAAGCTCCTTGGACTTTAATTCAAGAGGTTTAACTTGACCCCAGAGGGTTTGCATGAACTGAGGACTGTTTTAAATAGAATAAGAATTGCAGTGACTGTCTGAAGTCTTGAACTCATGGACATCATGTCTTCCTCCTTTGAGATGCTTTACATTGATTTCAACCACCTTCCGTTGCTGCTTGTTTGTGGGTCGTTTTGTATTCAGTCTTGCATTTATGAACACAAAACGCTGCTCAACTTGGTCGAGCTCAGGTGACTCCGTTGGCATTTGAAGAACATTCCATGTCTGGGACTTTAGAAACTTGGATTGCTTTGCAGCTTTCGCTTATAAAACCATTTGCACTTTGATGCACTGTCTGATTGTTTTTGCAGCATTTTGCTGAATCTGACCAGAGAGTTTGCTTCATAATTCATCCTCCTACTTCTATCAGCGGTCATGTCATCAATAAACACCAGTGATACATTTCTACTGACAACCATAAGTTGTCTCCTCCAAGTTTTTACAGATAGTGCTGTATGCTTCACATCATGAGCTGCTTCTTTCATTCTCCATACTGCTCACTTGAGGTTATCCTGGTACAAGTTCATCTTTGTTTCATCTCCCCAAAGATTTCTCTGAACTCTGCAGACTCTTGTAGATGTTTTCTGGCAAAGTCTAAACTGCTGCTAGTGTAGCCAGTGGTAAATCTTCTGTTCTTGCATTCATGAAGGCGTACCGAACTCTTTGAGAGTGTTCTTTAATTGGTTAGATTTTGCAAAGTGGTTTATCTTAACCTCACACAGAATTTTGTCATCATGAACTTTAGTTATCTTCTGTTCTTACAGTGTTGCTGAGCTGGCCAGTTCATTCATTCTTTTGAAAAATGAACCAGATTATTGTTTTGGCCTCTCTTCAAGTTTTATGCTATCTCTCTGAGAGGTTTGTTTTGTTTTTTGGCCTCCCTTGCCAAACATCTGACATCGCCTTAGGTCTCATATTAAAAATACAGTGAAAAGCTATCAACTATAAATTCAACACTTTGAATTAACTTCAGATATTGTCCATCCCTCCATCCAGATAATGTGTCTGCTTCTTTTTTCATGAAAAACAAGGTAACGCTACTTACCTTCTCAGTCAATTGTCCAAATACTTTAGAGCCTCTGAAAATGGGACACTGTGTATATAAATTGCTGTAATTCCTTAACCAGTAAATTATCATTTTTACAAAGCTTCTTGAATTAAAGCTTAAAGTCTGCACTTCAATCATATCTGTTTGAATTAAAATCCACTGTGGTTTATTTGACTAACAAAGTATAGACCCAACAGTATGTGCTACTTTGTTATATGAATTATGTTTTCAATAAATCTGTGGGAAAATGTCTGCAAAGCCCCCATAGTTTTAATTCATAGCCCAGTTTATACTGTTACGACAGGAAAGAAGTTCATTAGCACTGTACGCGGGTAATAGCAGCCTCCAGTATTTACTGTATGTTGAGATAAGCTAAGCCACCTCCTCGCTGTATTTTTAAAGGACTGATAAGAGATTTTTTTAATTAAATCAAGAAAGCTGTAAAGCATATTTCCCAGCACTCCAAGCTGCAGCCCAGACTATTCTTCATATAATATGACCAAGCCACTGTGGTTAAGTTACTGGTACCAGCCAAGTTAGTCTCTGAGTCAGGCTGCTGAGAAATCAACCAGGGGTTTGATTCACTGTTGTGCTTGTGCCAGAACACGTGTCAGTCCAAAAATAGTTTCCTCTTGAAAGTGTGTTTCATTTAGTGTCTGCCATTTCACACCATAAGAGGAAAGACAAAGAAGTGTAAGTAGCTTAAATCCCTCTAACCTGTTTGTAGATTAAATGATAGAAATAAAAGTAATAAAGTAATAACCTAGAACAGGGGTGTCGAACTCCAGGCCTGCAGGTTTTAGATATCACCTTGGGTCAGCACACCTGAATCAAATGATTAGTTCATTACCAGGCGTCTGGAGAACTTCAAGACATGTTGAGGAGGTCATTTAGCCATTTAAATCAGCTGTGTTGGATCAAGGACTCATCTAAAACCTGCGTGACATCGGCCCTCAAGGCCTCTGACCTATAAGGACTGTAGGTATTACTAAACACTTCTCCTAAGACGCACTGGACTAATCAGAGAGATACTGCCAAGGAAACACAAAACATGCATATTCATCAAAAGTGCATACACATGATCCAGTTTTCAGTATAAAATTCTCATCTTTGTCAGTTTTACACCGGCTTGTATTTTTCCTCACTGCAGCTGCTGATTCCCTCTGAAAGTGTGTAAAAGTGCTCTCATCTGACATTCATTTTAGTCTCTCAGTACCTGCAAACGTAATTTATGTATTACAGGGTTTAATGATTTGTTGGACGACCATTTATCACAAAGTTATTGTTGTGACAATCTCTTCCAGGACTCCCCGCATAGCAAACACAATAAATCATCAGAACATCAGAAATTCCCGATTCACTTTCCACAGTTGTTTAGGTTTCAGGTCATAAAAGCATGTTTCTAGAGAAGTACGCACGAAAGCGCATGTAAATCCTCATCGGTTCATCTCCCCAACTGACCGGGAGTCTGTACTCCTGGCTTTGTAACATTGTAAGCAGTTATCAGATGCTGTGACATATAACAGACAGACGTATCGGTAATCAAGTAGGCGACTGCAGATAGCTACTCTCAGGAAAGTCAAATGACCTCCAAAGAGTATGATAGTCTAGATGGCAGCTTGATTGTGCATTACCCTTTGGCCATCAAGCTCAAGTGCACCAGTTAATAGTACACGTACACAATATTGCATTTATATTTATTATTCTGGCTACAAGGGAGAGTCGGAGGTAATGATTTGGTGTATGGCTATTCCTGCACCAAATTATAGGTGCTGGACTGTGGTCGGCCAAATACTTGAGTGAATTCTTATTCTTTATTCAAAAAAATGAATGCATAAACTATCAATGGCTATACTATAATGGCTATTCCCCAACCACCCAACACATCGCTATGATACGTACCTTTTTCTTTGATGCCTCTGACTTTTTGGACATATTTCTTAGTTTTTTGTGCAAGTGATTTAACACCTGTAAACAAGGGATACAGAAGTCAAATGTAAATTTCTTTAGCAGTAATTCCTCTAATTATATCACTGACCTGTGTGAACAGCCTTTTCTTACCTTTGCATAACAGAAAGAAATGAGCAGCAGAGGCAGCACATAACCAAAGATAAACGTGCAAACCACATAGATCTTCTTCTGGTTCTGATCCGGCCACACTTCCCAGCAAAAGGTGTGATTTTCCCCTCTCTGAAAAATATTCTGGTAATACATGATAGGCGCAGCCATGGCCAGGGAGAGTATCCAAATCACCACCACACCAATAAGAGCGTGCTTCGCCACCCTAATAGAGGACGACTTTCTGGAGTGAACGATGGCAATGTATCGGTCCACTGACATAGCGGATAGGGTGAAGATGCTGACCAGCATAGAAACAGTGAAGAAGTAGTGGATGAATTTGCAAATAAACGCACCGAGCACCCAAGTGGGCATCATGTAGATAGTGGACTGGAAAGGGATGCAGAAGAGCAAGTAAGACAGGTCTGCTATGCTTAGGTTCAGGATGAATATGTTGGTGGTGCTTCGAGGTTTTCCCGGTTTGCTCCGGGCCAGCACGGTGATCACCATGGAGTTGCCCAGCACGCCGAGCGTAAAGATGAGCCCGAAAACCAGAAGCGTGATGAAATTATCCGTGCCGATCCCGAATAAAAGTTTCTCGTCCTCCTCCTCCTCCACACGGCTGAGGTTCCAGGGCTCTTCCAAGAGCCAAACAGAGTCTGTCAAGTTCATTATTTATTCTTTGCTCTTCGGATTAAGTTAAAAGGTAAGCAAAGGCACCTGCAGCTGGTCTGTGCTGCTTCATTGCACGGAATTTTCTGGGCAAGGGTTTATGGTCAGGTGCGTTTCCATCAGCGTTCCTGCAGACAGTATTGTTGCTCTCCTGTGTCTTTGTGTCGAGACTTCGGTAAATCCCCCTCTTAGCTTTCTATATTATATTTGTGTATATTTCAAAGCGATCTCGGTTTTTGTGCAGCGTTAAATCAGCTTTACAGCTGCGCGTTTTGGAGTCGCTCTCCCGGCGCGCACCTGACCCGAGCGCGCAGCGACCGCGCCGATCCAGTCTGTTGCTTCTTTCTCCGCGTCGGGACTTTTTCCTCTCAGATTAGAGCAGGGGCTGGGCTCTACCGCTGCACGTCAGCATCAA